GGGACGCGGCCTCAGCATGGCCGGAGAAGCGGTGCGTCGGTGCGCACCCGGGATCCGAACCCAGGCCGCCAGCAGCGGAGCGCGCGCACTTAACCACTAAGCCACGGGGCCGGCCCAGCCCAGAATCTCTTGAGTGGCACCTCTCTTCACTCTGTATTTGGCTCTGGAGTCTTAGGAAGCCTGCTAACCCCTCGCCCTGCCAGGAATCCCAAAGTATACCCTGGGAGCTGCCAGGACCACTTCTGGGGGTGGTGAGGGTCCAAGGTGCAGTGTGGGCTGATATCCAACTTGACAAATGGTGGGGGCAGCTGAGGTTCTCACCATCTACCTTATGAAGTCCTGCCTTCTGGCCCCCTTCCCCAGAGAGCTGCCCCCAACATGCTTCTCAGACACCTAAATGGCACCCCTCAGGTAGGCTGATGCTCTCCTTGGGCCCCTCCATCTCTGGGGCTTTGGTGCAGAACTGGGAGCTCAAGCAGGAGGCCCATCAAGGGAAGATTGGCCTTTGGGCAGAAGCCAAGGAGTAGGAATGCAGCTGGGCAGGAGGGCTGAGGACTGAGCTGAATATGGTACCAGAGACTGACCCATGAGCCCCAGGGAGCACCTCAACTGACCTTTCTGGTTCAGGGACAAATTTGGGGGAGCTCAGAATTTCCTCAGCCCTAAAGTGTCATCTTCAGACACAATATAGGGTTGTTGAGTGTTTAAAACAAGTATATTGTACTGTGAAAAGCAGAGTCAAAGACAAGGTGATCAAACCTTCTTAGAAAATCCTCAAGGTGAGCCTCGGCAGACACTGAGAGAGGCCACCCCCAAACGTCAGCTCCAGAAAAACAGTTCTCCTAGGGTTTCGAGAGGGGAGTCGACAGCACCCGGCAGCCTGAGGGTGATCAGTGCTGGGGTGTACCTGGAGATAAAGACCTTCTCCTGAGTGGGACCGCAGGGGACCCTGCATGGGTCACTTCCACAGCCAACAGCCGCCAGCTGGCCTACTTGTCCTAACAGGATTTTGTATGGCCAGGTCAGGCCGAGGGCAGAGGAGATTGATACTAAGGAGATGATCCGGCTGCACTGAGAGCTGAGAGGTCATGTGAGGAAACAAGCGCCGGGGGAGCCAGTGACAGTCATCCCAGGGAAGACGAGCATCCTCGCTACATTGTGTGCATTTGTGGCAGGCAGGGAACGACCCTCACGGCAAATGATTGCTGATACACTTTGGGATGCAGTCCTGATCAGAGAAGCCAACCCTGATTCTACACCTGAGATTCCATCCAGGAGGGCCTGGGACCACGCAGCAGCGTCTGTCTTTCCAGGTGTCCCAACTCTTTCCACAGAGCTGATCGATGGTCTGAACTTTCATTTACCCTGTGAAGGGGCTTTACCTCTCCAGGATCCCATGCCTCTTCTGGTGATTTCACTTGGATGTGTGTGTGTGTGAGAGAGAGAGACAGACAGAGACACACAGAGAGAAACAGAGACAGAGAGAAACAAAGGGAGGCCCTGCCACTGACCTGCTTTCCATGGAGGTATGGGAAATGAGAGGTTAGGGTGTGTGATGAGGGATGAGACGGTAAGAGGGGAACTAGGTTTTCCTGCCAGCCCCTCCAGGCAACAGTCAGCAGATATTCTCAGCACCAGGACTGGAACCAGGGGAGCCCTCCTTTGAAACATGTTGCTCAACAGAAGACTGCAGTGTTCGATCCATGCCCAGAGGGCACTGGAGTTGTCTGGATGAAGGAGGCAGTGGAGTGTCCACTCCTGACATCTCAGTTCTGATGAAGACCTCCTGGGCAGGCCCCCCAGGACACTTCGAGGGACCACACACGCCAGAGTGGTGGCTCTGCAGGATGGAGCTGGTTGTCAGAAGTGGCTGCTGCTGAACCAACTCTGAGAGTTTAGGAGACAGGTTGAGAGGAGGAAATTCCAGACCCATTTATGTTTCCTGCCCATCTTGGACCCAGGCAGAGTCTGATCCACCCAGCTTTCCAGATCGCACCATCTCAATCTGTCTTATTATGGACTAGAGGATCTTCAGGTTCCCTTCTAACTCAGACCCTCTGGAATGCTGGGTCTCATCACTGCAGAGTTGTTTCCTGGGTGAGACAGTGGCTCTCAACTACTGTTGTCAGTTCATCATTGTTGTCAAAGCTAAAACTTACATGGTGCCTTCTAGGTGCCAGGCACTCTTTTCAGCACCTTCACGTATAAATTCATTTATTCCTTCAACAACTCTGTAAGATTTTACAGATGAAGAATCTGAGGTACAGAGAGGTTAAGGAATCACCCAGTTAGGTCCATGGTTAGCAAGTGGCAGAACTAGGATTCAAACCCAGGCTGTCTGGCTCCAGAATCCGAGCTAACATAACAATATTTAATTGCAGCAATTAAAGTATTATTATTTATTTTGTCTCATGCACCCCCACATCAGTGATCTGAGGCTATCATGGTGTTGCCTTTGTAGAGAGGGGACACTGAGGCTTGGAGAGGGTACACAGTCTTCCCAAGGTCACCCAGTGCTCGCAGGGCAGAGCCAGCATGGAATCCAGAATAGACCCCACGACACCACTTTGTTCTATCAGTTGTGCCATTGTCCTCACCCTCCCGGACTGCACAGCTGTGAGGAGGACCCTCATGAGCCCTTGCATCTCCCACCTTGAAATTCCACATGTAAAGCACCTTGCATGTTGCCTGGAACATAGTCACATTGACAGAGAGTTGCCCTCCACATTTTTCTTGCCTGGAGATCAGGGCAGCACCATTCTGTGCACAATGCTCGGTGGGCCTCCAGCAAAGCATGTGCACAGGGATCTGGAAGGAGGCTTTGCTTGGGCTCCAGGTGTCTGGGGTCAAAAAGGGTGGCAGGGAGCTTGGTGGTCAGCTATTTCCCTTTCCCACTGGAGAGGGAAGGCTCATGAACATGGCCACCAGTAGTGCCCCTGGAGCTGTAGCAAAGCTTCTAGTAGAGTCATAGAAAGTAAATTGCGACGGACCTTACAGATAATCTAGTCCAAGGATGGCAAAAATGTCTCCCTGCCATTATTTCTCCATTCCCTGCCCCTCACAGACATCACTAATCGATCATGGTCCTCTCCTACCAAGCTTGGATCAGAATTCTCCTTAGTTCAGCACTCAGGCAGCCCTCACTTGAGCTCATAAAGGAAGTGAATCCTTTTTGTTGCCCCTGAGTCCAACCATATCATTTTACCAGAAAAGAAACAGGCCTAGTGAGGGAAAGTGACTTGCCCAAGGTCACAGCCAGTTAGTGACAGTGCAGGGAATTTAAGACAAAAGTTTGGAAATTGGGCACCATGAACAAGCCTAGTAGGACCAGAATCCAGACATGGCAACTCCCAGCCCAGCCTCTTCCCACACACTTCAGCAGCTCTGGCTGTCAGCTGACTAGCCTAACTGAAGGGTGTGGTCCCAGATAAGATGTGTTTCCTTTCTCATTCCCAGACCGTCCCTCCAAGGACAAGGAGGAGGAGAGCTTGAATCAGGAGGCCAAAGCCAAGCCTCAGGCCAAAGCAGAGAGCAAAGCAGAAGGTGAGAGAACGGTGAGACCAGCAGGTTTCTCCTGCCACCTTCCTCCCTCCTGTCAGCCAGGGCCTGAGGCATGCCTCTCGGCCTCTCTGGGCCAGTCCAGGAGTGATGATCTGGTGCTGTCCTGCACCCTCCTGTCCTCTGGCATCCTCCTCCCATTGTGCTCCCTCCCTGACATGGCTGCTGGCCCGAGGGTGGCCCTGTGGAACTCCCTCCGCACTCTCCTCAGAATGGGTAGGCAAGGCCAGGCAGGGGCTTTGAATTCCCACTTCTTTTTTTTGCTATATCTTGTCCCAGATGAGACTCTCGTGGACTCGGTTTCTTCTTCCTGTCACTGCTACACAAGGACAGTGCTGCTAGGGATTGGTCTGAGACCAGCAACCCCATGAGGGAAAGCCACCAGGGATCTGGTGACACAGAAGACCAGCATCTGTGTGGCAGCTGGGACAGGGGTAGTGAGACAGCTACTGCCCTGTGGGCTCTGCACAGCACACCAGGCCTGCCTGATGCACCCAGCAAGCCTTGAGGGAGGTAGAACAGCAGTCATTGTTCCCATTCTACAGACAAGGAAACTGAGACTCAGAGAGGTCAAATGACTTGACCAAAGCCACATAGCCAAGAAGTGAGAGAGCCTGTACCTAAACCCAGCTCTCCAGACTTTCCAAGTCTCCCTTCCCTGCAATCCTCTTCCAAGGCTTCCTTGCTGCTGCCTTTGAAATCATCAGGATCCTCTCCATGCAGTTGGTAGGGGAAGCGTGAGACCCTGAGGGCTGAGGCTTTGCCCTCTCCCTGCTCCAGTTGCCCAAGCTGTTCACAGCATCCTTGGCCACAGTGGCCAGGATAGAAATGTCTGTGAATACAGGGGGAGCAAGGATGGCCACTTCCCAGCTGTCCTCTCATCTGCAGACATCTCTGTGGATAGGACAATAACAATTCACATCATTTTACTTTTCCTATCTACAAGAAATTCCCCAAACAAACCTTCTGAGACCCTGAAGTGGACAAGTCCAATAGCCCTGTAGCCACACACACCAGTCTCTGCCAGCTGCCCTCAGAACCTGGCACACTCTTCTGACCTATCCCATGTTTATCCTTTAAAGAGGAGGAGCCGGCCAAGCTCCCTGCGGTCACAGTCACACCAGCCCCTGCTCCAGACGTCAAGGGAGATCAGGAGGAGGATCCTGGCGGTCAGGTAGGCACAAGCCTCTTCCCAGATGGAGGAACTTGAGAGGCCGAGGGAAGGACTTGCTGACCAAAAATCCTTCCTTCTTGAAGGTCTGAAGTGCTATTTGAGGTTCATTCCCCTTGGATAAGCATTGTCCTTTCTCTGAAGATCAGATACCCCACAGGGCCAGTTAATTCACCTTACACCTTAGTATGAGTGAGATAATATATATGAGAATGGGTTGCCAACTGTCACATGCTGTAAGAACATAAGGAATAACTGTTAGGGGGTCTGTTAGCAACTAGGGAACAGTGAGACCAGGCATCTGGAACTGCAGGGGTGAGCGGGGGTGACGGGGTTGCTGTGTAAAGGCCTTGGAAGCTTCTGAGGCACCTCAGCCTCATGGAGTTCTGACGCTGCTGTCTTCGGAGCCTCACAGCCTCTTCTTCCACCCTGCTCCTGCCAAACTGGACTGCTTGTCTCCATGCTTTTCTACCCCCAGGCCCACATGGTTTCCTCCCCCCTAGAATGCCATTTTCCCCTCCATCTTCATATCTGCTAACCTCAGGCCAGTGTAAATGCCTCCTTTGCTATGAAGCTTCCCTGACTGATCCCCCCAACGTGAATGCCCCTGGTACTTTGTCCTCTATGTATGAGTCTCTCTAGTTCCCCTGCTAGGTGGTGAGCTTCCTGAAGGGAGGATCTATGTCTGAGTTGTCTCTGTCTCCCCCACAGAGAAACACAATGCCTGGCACACAGCTGTGCTCAATAAGGGTTGAGTGACAGTAAATAAACAGTCTGTTTGCAAGTTCCAGCCCTGTTTGTTTTTTCTATTCGACACTCAGAAGCACTCAATTATATCTCAACCTTAAGCCAGCAACTTTGGGTTCAGTGTCTAAGACATCTTCATGGTATCATGAGTGTCCTGAGTAGGCCCATTACAGCCAGCTTAAGTAAAAGGGATTAGAGGATACAGAGGTGTCTCCTGCAATCCCAGGGCAGGATGTGAAGCTTGGTCTCACGAAGAGCTGGACCTAGGCCTGAGAGGGGATCTGTGACCCTGCTGGCTTCTCACTCCATGTCCTGCTCTCCCTCACATCCCCTTCTCTGTGTGCAGGCTCTGTCACTCAACCTTTCCGGGCAGCCTGGCTCCATTTGCTTCCGTATTGGCACACATAGCCCTAACCACTACCCCAGTCCTCTAGTCCACAGAGGGCTCAACCAGTGACTGGCTCCCAGTCTCAGAAGAGAGAATCCGTTCAAACAAGGTCACGGGTCAGGGATCCAGCCTGTGTCCAATCACCTGCGGCAGGGAGAGGTGGGGTGCTTTGACGCAAACACAGAAGAAGGGAGCCACTCATTCGGGGGCTATTTAGGTTACAGTTCTCAGAGAAGAGGGTGCAGGCTGGGCAGACACTCCCATAGCTATCTATTTAAATGACTTATCTCCTCCAGGAAGCCTTCTCTCCTGATGTGGGTGGGGAGGGAGGGCAGGAATTATTACAGACTAAAATTTTCTCACTCCGCATTCTCAATTCAAAGCACAGGCCTCACAGATAATAATATTTGACTTCTTCATCAGATGTTCTCAACCCTGGTTGCATATTAGAATAATTTGGGGAAGCTTTTAAAAATGCCCAGGCCCCACCCTCAGCCAGTTAAGTCAGAGTACCAGGAGTGGGTCCTTGGGTATGAATGTTTTTAAAGCCTCCAGGTGATTTTATTTATTTATTTATTTTGTGAGGAGATCAGCCCTGTGCTAACAGCTGCCAATCCTCCTCTTTTTTTGCTGAGGAAGACTGGCCCTGGGCTAACATCCGTGCCCATCTTCCTCCACTTTATATGGGACACTGACACAGCATGGCTTGCCAAGCAGTGCGTCGGTGTGTGCCCGGGATCCGAACTGGCGAACCCCGGGCTGCCGCAGCGGAGCGCGTGCACTTGACTGCTTGCGCCACCAGGCTGGCCCTGCTCCAGGTGATTTTCATATGCAGCAGAGTTGTGACACTGAGCATCCCTTGGGGGTTGGCTGTGTTATGAAATTTGTTACAGATGACATACTCCATGAGCACACAACCCAGGTCATTTGCTCAAGGGATTGGACCAGTACGTTGTTATAGGTTAGTTGGGAGCCTAATCTGAGGACCCTCAGAATCCATGGCTTTTAGAGTACATGGCGTCAGTCCAAGGTTCCCAAATACTGGTCTGTAGGTGGGTCTATTAGGAGCACTTGTGAGAATGTTAAAATAGATTCCTGGCTTCCAATCTCAGAGATGCTAATTCAGTTGGTCCAGTGGGGTGAGGAAATCTATATTTCTAATAAGCTCCCCAGGCTACCAGGTTTGGGGACCAAAGATCTCATTCAGCCCTGGCATTTGCAAAGCAGGGTAGCTTGGTGGTTAAGAGGCCAAGAGTTGGACTATCCATATTCAAATCCCAACTTCATCACTTACAAACTGTGTGGACCATGGGCAGGTTATTTAACTATTGTGTACCCATTTCTCCATCAGTCAGATGGGTTTAATGCTATCTATATCATAAGTTAATTAACTCATGAAACACAGGAAGTGCTAGCTGCAATTATTATTATTAAACCATTTAGCATGGTGCCTGGCACATAAAAAGTCTCAATAAATAGGTATTCTTATCATTATATTATACATGTAAGGTAATATAACAGTTTGGGAGTTTTAGTGGACTCAGCAATGTGATGTAACCACCAAAAGATATCATGCCATATTAGGCAACATTAATGAAAGCATAGTATCTAAGACAAGGGAGGTGATGATCCTATTTGACTCTGTGTGATGTTCTGTGTTCAGTTTTCGAAGCCTCCTCATGGCATATAAGCTAACTAGGATGAGTTCACCAAGATAGGAAGGAGGCTCTAGGGGGAGCATAGGGGAATGATAGAAGGACCTGGGAATCTTTAGCCCATGGAAGAGAGCTGTGTGTGGAAGAGTGACTAGCCTTGTTCTGTGTGGCTCTAAAGAGTAAACCTATACACGGGAGCAGAAGCTTGGTGTAAATATGGACTTCAAAGTAAGCAGAGTTGTCAAAGATGACAGAAGCTGCTTTAGGTGCCGAGCTCTCCATCCCTGGAAGTGATCACATAAAGACCAGAGAACCACTGGGTAGGAATGTTGTGAAGGGAATCTTGCTGAATGATTGCACTAGTTTTCTCCTCATACTCAAGTTTTTAGATAACATTCTTTTTATTTTTATTTTTATTTATTTATTTATTTTCCCCAAAGCCCCAGTAGATAGTTGTATGTCATAGTTGCACATCCTTCTACTTGCTGTATGTGGGACGCGGCCTCAGCATGGCCAGAGAAGCGGTGCGTCAGTGCGCGCCCGGGATCTGAACCCGGGCCGCCAGCAGCGGAGCGCACGCACTTAACCACTAAGCCACGGGGCCGGCCCTTAGATAACATTCTGAGAGGAAGAAGAACAAAAAATAACGAGGAAAAACTGGGAAGGAAAACAAGCAGAGCAGTGATCACACATTAACCTGTTGGCTTTGGACTGCAGGCAGGAGATGCAGCTGGAGCTGAGCACACAGGGGAAATGATGGGTGAAGAGGCTGAAGCCCCTGGGGAAGGTGAAACGGGAGAGCGAAGTGGAGGTGACACTCAACTAGAAGGTGGAGGTGAAACGGAAGCAGAAGGAAAAGATGAACGTGAAGGTGAAACGGAAGCAGGAGGCAAAGGAGACAGTGAAAATGAAGGTGAAATCCAAGCAGAAAGGAAAGGAAGTGATGATGGCGAAGGTGAAATCCAAGCAGGAGAAGGGGAAATGACAGGTGATGAAGGCGAAGCTGGAGAGCAGGAATTCAATGCTGAAAATCAAGGTGAAGCCAGAAGTGATGAGAGAGATATAGATGGTGAAGGGGGAGGCGATGGAGGTGACGGTGAAGATGAGGAGGAGGAAGAGGAGGAGGAAGAGGAAGAGGAGGAGGAGGAGCAAGAGGAGGAAGAGGAGGAAAATGAGGAGCCCTTGTCCCTGGAATGGCCTGAGACCAGGCAGAAGCAGGCCATTTACCTCTTCCTCCTGCCCATTGTGCTCCCGCTGTGGCTGACGGTGCCCGACGTCCGGAGGCTGGTGAGTTTGCCCAGCCATACCCCAGCTGTGCATCCCCAGAGAGGCTGTGCGGTCTCTAGGCACTCCCACTCAAGAGGAGGGAGGGGACAGGGCAAACCAGCTTGGCAGGGCTCAACCACAGGGAGGATCTGGGATGGAATCTGCAGCTCTGGAGGGACCGTGCACCTAGGGGGACATACTGATGGACTTGGGAGGCCCTAGAACGTGCTTATTTCCACCACTGTGAGCAATGTAAACTAGTCCCTCCTTGACTCCTCTCTGTTCCTTGATTTTAATATGGGAATGATGCCTCTACCCCTCTCCACATTTCACAGGGATATTGTGAAAGCCCAGGGTGGTATGTGCTATTTCTCTCCAGCATTCCTATTTATAGGGAAAGGTCTTATTCACATACTCCACCCAAAGGCGGACCATATGCTGTCTCTGAGTCTGGAGAGGGGCAGGGCGGGGAGAGGTTGCAGAAGCCACACCAAATCCCTAAAATGGTCTGGTTCTAGGGCAAGCAAAAAGCTCTCTTCAGTCTGGTGACCGCTGAACACCCTACTGGCCGGACTCCCCTATGGCCACCAACCTCATCCTTTCCCAGCCATCTCAAGGTCCTCACTGGAGACAGAGATCTCAGCTCTAAGATGTCCAGATCCCCTCCAGCACTCCTCCCGCAAATCTCATCACTGATTCTGGCCCTTGGAAGGGCCTCTGCAACTTATTTCTCTTCCATTTCAAACTTAAAATAGGAGTCGAGGAAGTTTTTTGTGATCACCTTCCTGGGATCCATCACGTGGATAGCCATGTTCTCATACCTCATGGTGTGGTGGGCTCACCAGGTGAGTGAACAGCAGGAACCAAATCCTGCATCAGATGATCTCAAGGACACTATTTTCCTTCAGGGTGAATTTCCAGTACCCAGGGAATAGTGAGGATCAAGTGAATTTGTACAGTTTCTACGTTGTTTGTAAAGGTTATAAGCAGACTTTTTATTCTAGTGAATGTAGTGCTTTTGAAGTGTGGCTCTTCTGTCTTATATTCACATTGTAGCATGACATAGAAGGCCCTTCACGATCTGCTTCCAGCTGACCATTTCTTATTAGCCTCATTCTCTGTTTTCTGTCAGGCATCCCCACTCCTCTCCACCTGGGGAAATCGTATACACTTGTGAGAGCCTGCTCAGTTTTGCCTCCTCTCTGGCATTTCATCAGTCTTCCTCTGAGTGCCCATGGCTTTTCTGTTCCACCTGGAACACTGCACTTAGCACAGAGCTGTAACTGTTGTTTACAAGCTTTTCTCTTTCAGGAGGTGGAGAGGAGGGGCTGTGTAGTACTGCTCGTACTTCTATCTCCAGCCTCTTAGTTCTTGGCACATGCAGGTGTCCATGGTTCTGGAAATGGAAACGGGTGACATGAACAGATCTTTGGAGGGGCAGTTCTTCAGGGAAGGTAGAGGTGTTGTAGTTGGAATGACAGTGAGAGGTGGTATCATAAATGAACTTTTAGTCCAGTTTAGAAAAGAGCAGCATTATTTCCTGAAGCCTTGAGCAGGGCCCCATTCTTTCTCTCTATGGCCTGTCTTTCCAACTGTTGGTTCTGCCATCACCCTACCTCACTCAGGCCAAGGGAGTGTGCTGAGCTCTGTGGAAGGTGTTGGGTTTGCACAAAGTAGTATGTGGTTGGTGCTTTGAAGAGCCTCAGATTTTTTACCTGCTTTTGCCATGGTTTCTCATTACTGTTACTGTTTACCAGGTTGGTGAAACAATAGGGATTTCTGAAGAGATTATGGGTTTGACAATCCTAGCAGCAGGCACGTCAATTCCTGACCTCATCACCAGTGTGATTGTTGCTCGGAAAGGCCTAGGAGACATGGCTGTGTCAAGCTCTGTGGGCAGTAACATATTTGATATCACCGTGGGGTGAGTGGCAAAGTTGCTTTCTAAGGCATATTAAGTATGACTGGAAAACACTGTTGGCTCTGTTCTCTGGTTTTCTGCTTCATTCATTATACATGGAATAAAAGAGCATTTATATTATTAGTTTCTACAAGGCAACAAAGTATTCTCCCTTCATTCATCACAGCCAGATGGAATAACAGAACTAAAATGCTGCCTGAAAGGTAACTGATTAGAATTTATAGTTGAATTGAAAAACCAAGTCCATTAAATTCTATTACCAAATACAGTCAAATGCTCTGCTCACTGACCTCCCAGGTGGTGGAGGCGGGGCTGGAAGGAGCAGTGACTCAATCTCATTTCCTGATATTCCTGCTCCTTTGCATTTGGGATCCTACCAGCTCAGAGGCTCTAAAAGCATTTTGTATAAACAAGCAAATGCCACATCCTCCTGCACCCATTCCCTTACCCTCTCCTCTCAACTTTGTCAGAGCAGAGCACCTGGGCTACTTTCATTTCCTGAAATCATGTCCTGGATTTGGGTGGTGGCTTTGGTTTCTTTAATTTGAATGTGTGTGTGTGTATGGGGGTGGGGCAGGTAAAAGTGCATCAGAGAGCCCTGATCACCAAAGAATTTAAAGAAATGTTATCCTGAGCTAGGCCTTATCATAAAAATGTAGAGATTAAAGAGTCACACATCAACCAATCTGGGTTAGTCATACAGAAGTCATGAAGTATGAGGGAAAAAACTCAGACCCAGAAGACTTCAGTTTTAATGTAGGCTCTGCCAGTTATTAGCTGTGAGTCTTTGGGCATGTAATTTACTTTCCCTGAACCTTAATTTCCTCATCTGTGAAATGGGGCTAATATTTTCTGTTCTGTTTCATACACTTGTATGTGTGTGTGTGTGTGTGTGTGTGTGTGTAAAAATAAGTGCTTTGTAAATGGTAAAATACTGTTTAAGTATATGCGATTATTATAAACATTAAGAATATTCACATTGTTTCTTCAATCTTACAGCTTACCCGTTCCTTGGTTTCTTTTCTCTCTTATCAATGGATTACAGCCTGTTCCAGTCAGCAGCAATGGCTTGTTTTGTGCAATTGTTTTGCTTTTTCTCATGCTCGTGTTTGTGATCTCTTCAATTGCATCATGCAAATGGAGAATGAACAAGATCCTGGGCTTCACAATGTTCCTCCTCTACTTTGTATTCCTGATAATCAGTGTGATGTTAGAAGATCGAATCATATCCTGTCCTGTTTCTGTCTGAGTCAGAGTCACTGTTGCTCAAAATGGACATGCATCAGAAAACCATGCCTGAAGTTACTGTAGGTCTTGTTACATTATTGAAAGAATGAACATGAGTCAGGAGAGTGAACTGACTGGCTGAGAGCCTCTGATGTGAATGTGATCCGGACTAAGTTTATGCTTGGAAACACCGGCAGTTTATTATGGAAGAAGAATCTCACCTCTGGAGGGATGGAGTTCCTACCCCTGCCTGATGCAGACAGCTATCACATGGAGGCCAGAAGAAGGACCCCTGGAGTCAGAGGGTTTTCTAAATGAGAGATAATTGGGGAGGAGGGCTGAGCCAGGCACTGTAGCAATAAGACAAGCTCCCATGCTCACAGTTCCCTGATCATTCCTGAAGGGCGACTGATCCAAAAGATGCAGATGTGGTCTACATCTCACCCTCCTGGCCCCTGCCCCAAGCACACCCTGCAATTTGCTGTCTCCTCTTTTTTCACAACATGAGGCTCTATCAATCAGGTTTGTAATCATTACAGGTTCAGTTACTGGTGAGTTTAAGGAGCCAAGGCTATAGGAAAAAAAGAAGTATAACAGGAATCAATTATTATTACACATCATAGTCCACTAAAGTGTGTACCAATATTTTATAGTTTAAAAGGAGGGGTACATTAGCTTACTGTTGCATTTCTGAAAAGTGAAATAAGTAGCCCAAGAAATTAAAGTTTATAATTTGCCCTTGAATTGGAAGGCACGGATATTAGAGAAGGAAAACTACTCTAAGAGCTATTTAAAAATATGTACTTATTGGGCCGGCCCTGTGGCTTGGTGGTTAAGTGCGCGCGCTGCAATGCTGGTGGCCCGGGTTCGGATCCCGGGTGCGCATCAAGGCACCACTTCTCCGTCCATCCTGAGGCTGAGTCCCACATACAGCAACTAGAAGGATGTGCAGCTATGACATACAACTATCTACTGGGGCTTTGGGGGGAAAAAATAAAATAAATAAAATCTTTAAAAATATGTACTTATTAGAAAATCCAAGTTAATGTTGTCTCCATCAAGTGGTCACCTTGAGGGATCAGACATTCTAACAAAGCTGTCCAGTCTCCAGCATATTCTCACCCAACAGTGACAGCTGCTAGTGGTGAGTGAGAAGGAAAGTAATTTTAACAAGAGTCCAAAGTCAGTAGAGCCAAATCTGGTTTCTAAAGTAAGAGATCAGTGGGGGCAATGCTACTTCTGTATGTCAACCTAGACAGGATTATAAAGCAAGAAGATTGATTTCTTGTGTGGTTTACAAGTGGATGTTAAGGCAATTACAAAGGAAAAATTCCAAAAATGCTTAACACAATGACAGCATGGTGAGAAAAAAAAAAGTATTACTACTTCCAAGGTAGCTAGTGTAAAAGGACTGTGATTTTAAAAATTGTGTGGTTACTTAAACATTTCATGTGGAATTTGAAGTGCTTGTATACTAAATACCACTCCTCGCTGCTTTTACTAGCATCAAGTTAAGGGACACATTAGAAATGAAACAGTTCTATGTCCCTGGTTTTGGAGCTCAGGTGACTGTAGATTGTGATGGTAAATACGGCTTTAATTACAAACACGAGAGCAGATTCACTGAAGACTAGAAGATAGCAGGACAGATGTGATGTGAAAAAAAAATCAAACATTTTGGTGTTGAAGGGCTGTGTTCAAAGTACTTCAGTCCATAATCCATCTTTTAAGATGGGCTGGTTAATTTATTTAATGGCCTCAATACCCCAGGATTCACATTCTTTGGAAATGACTTTTTATTAAATTTAATAAATTGTGAGTCCCAATGATTTTTTTTTTCCCCCAAAGCCCCAGTAGATAGTTGTGTGTCATAGCTGCACATCCTTCTAGTTGCTGTATGTGGGACGCCGCCTTAGCATGGCCGGAGAAGCGGTGCGTCGGTGCACACCCGGAATCCGAACCCGGGCCGCCAGCAGCAGAGCGTGCGCACTTAACCGCTAAGCCACGGGGCCAGCCCTAAAGTTTTTATTTTTTTTCTTAATTTTTTTTATTTTTATTTTTTTTGTGAGGAAGATCAGCCCTATGCTAACATCTGCCAATCCTCCTCTTTTTTTTGCTGAGGAAGACCAGCCCTGGGCTAACATCCGTGCCCATCTTCCACCACTTTATGTGGGACGCCGCCACAGCATGGCTTGCCAAGCAGTGCATCGGTGCGTGCCCGGGATCTGAACCGGCTAACCCCGGGCCACCGCAGCAGATGGCACGCACTTAACCACTTGCACCACCGGGCCAGCCCCCCTCAATGATTTTTATTTTACAAACATGGATGGGTTCATCCATATCTTTAGGTTACTTGGCCAGAATGCTCAAGAGAAGACTGATGAAGAATATGGAATCGTGTTCAAATTTCTTATTCTTAAATTAGTTATCCTCATTCCTGATGCTGCTGCACTGCCTGGTCTCCATATGCCACGGCCTAAGAACAGGAGGAGAGAACAATGCCTATGGGAGGGAAATCCCAATACCAAAACTCTGGGTGCCAGCCTGGTCTCTGCAGCCAAGTCCAGCTAGCCATGGGGATGTCACCTCCTCACTGACAGCCCAGGATCTGATGTTCTTCCCCTGAATGACTGAGTGAGAGAGATGGACAGTGAAATGTTCTGAATGATAAAGTGCTGGACAGCCATTTAATGATTAAAATCAACTCTAATGATCTAACATCCTTTTCCTGAATTTCTGGAATTTCTCTTTGCCTAGAAAGGAAGTTTCTATCATTTTACACTATGAAAGAAAGGGTCAAGTACATATAATAAAAGCTGGGTCTTGATGGATGAGTGGGTGGGGGAGAAAGAGGAAATTTCAGGGAGATGGAATCATCAATTTGTTATGCTTGGAAATTAAAATTTTTGTCATACATTTACAAATGTACTATAATTTATTAAAATTATACTTGGTAGAGGTAAAGTACCATCTTAAAATGTCAAGATAATGGTGAGATGCTCCTCTCATTTGATAGGCAAAATCATCTGTATAGTTACATTGTACAAATTCTAGGTCATTCATTCAGCCTAGCAAGTCTGAAATGTCCCACATGGGTATCTTTTTTTTTTTTTTTTTTTTGGGAGGAAGATCAGCCCTGAGCTAACATCTGCCAATCCTCCTCTTTTTGCTGAGGAAGACTGGCCCTGGGCTAATATCCGTGCCCATCTTCCTCCGCTTTATATGGGACGCTGCCACAGCATGGCCTGACAAGCGGTGCATCGGTGCACGCCTGGGATCCGAACCCAGGCTGCCAGCAGCGGAGCGCGCACACTTAACCGCTACGCCCCAGGGCTGGCCCCTCACGTGGGTATCTGAATTGAAAGACTGGCTGGCACAGATGACTCCTTCTTCCGCCCCCTTGAGGTTGCATTTCCTTGATGGCCCTGGTAATAGGTTTGGGCCAAATTTCTAAAAATGTGAAACTCTTCCTAATTTAATGGGTTAAGATTCTATATAGTACCAGAAAAAAAGGATGCACTCCAGATGTTTGAAAATTGGTATATGTTTAAATGGTTACTATCCATTTTGAACGTTATATTGTATTCTCTTCAATAGATCTGAAAAAGTTTTTAACAAAATATAGGCTTGGCCTTTTATACAGTCTATATCATAATTATAATTTATTTAAAGATTGAGTATCAAAGGGGGCATAAATTGGAATTTAATATTTAGGACACAGCCTGGTAGATACATTAGAACTGGCTAGCCTTATGTGCCAAAGAATACCCTTGGTTGTGACTTCTTTTTTGTGGGAGGGTCCCCCGGCAGGTGCAGCCTGCTATGTGTTTTGGGACTGGTTGCTGTGAAAGGTACAAAGAGAGGGCTCATGATCAGGGCTGTCCATCCCTGGGGGGTCACTAGAGCTGGCAGGACACCCTGGCCTAAGGCTGCCTACACAACCAAAGGCACACTTCTCTTCAGGCCCTTCACTGGGATGAGTAGGCAAACCCTGGAGAATTTCATTTACAGAAAATTCCATCAGTTGCTCCAGTGGTTTTGTCTACTACTATGTTTGAAAAGAAAATCTTTAAATACTAAAGGAGGGAGCCATCTAAATGAATAGCAACTGTGGAAAGGCCACAGCAACTTTATCAGAAGAGTCTGTTACCATCTCAGAGAATAAGCACATGCACACAGAATTTTTGAATCAGGACAGAAATTCCTGTATTAGTTTGTGTGCTGCTAATTTTGTAAACAAAAATAATTAAGCCAGCAAGTGTACTTACTTTGAGGCCAGAGGAAGAGGGTAGTATGAAGGGATAATAAGAAGATACTAAGTACTGAGGATATTAAGGTAAACTGGTATGCAGCTGCTAGAGGATCAATTCTGAAATAGAACTTAGTCTTGTATCCAAACAGAAAGGCAGAGCATGATACCTCTAGCACGAAGGCGGGCCAAGAGCCCTCTCAAAGAGGCAGCCTGCTCTTTTCCTTCCTGTTCTGACATAACGTGCCTAATAGCAGCTGTCAAGTTCTAGTGGGAGAAATAAAAATAAAGCTGGGTTATCGCACATTACCGTACAAATGGGTATTTTCTTACCATATACTTACAAAGTATTTAGAAATACAACATAACTTGTATATACAGCAGGCTAACACTTGCTGTTTGCACTCAAGTACCATAATAATTACCAGCACAAAGTAAAATAAGTATTTATCACCTAAAATGCTGAACGAACATTTTCAGGGGCCATTTCTCTACATACAAAAATGGAAAGGCATATTAGAAAACCTTTTAATAAAATAAGGTGGTGGTTTTAGGGTTTTAAAGCAAACCCCTCCCAAAAAATCAGGAAAAAAAGACAAAAATCAGAATATGAACAGGCTGCATAATTCCCTGACAATAGGAGAAAAAAGCTGAATATGGAAATATATAAAATACAAATGTGTAACATTCAAAACACAATGGGAGGAAGTAGTAAACAAATTATACCAGGACACAGCATGGTTTATTTTCAACTATTAAATGTATAAACAAAACTAAGAATAAGAAAATAAGAGATAGATAATATAGTAAAAGGGCATCTCTCTCTAACATGATTGGCCGTGATTCTCTAAAATGTACGGTCATCAGAGTGAAAATTGAAGAAAAGTTTGTATAGAGTTATTTTAAAGGATGATCTATATTTTAAGCAGGGCTTACCACTTTCTATTCATGTTTTAGGTTTTATTTTTAAATACTAAATTTGTGCAAATAATATTCCCTGGGGATTAAAAGTAGGGGAAGCAAAACCCAACCAGAAGCAGAAACAAAACTTGTTGCGGGGGGAGGAGATAAAAATTACATTCACTTTTTCAAATGAGTTTGAACCGTAAAGAATGGGCTTTACCTCACTTTTTTTGGTTAGATATTTGAAATCAATAAACTAGTATTCTTACATATTGCTTGTGTTTAAAAAAAGGTAAACAATAGTGAAAGCTGTTCTTATAAGGGAAAAAAACCAAACAATAACAAAAAATCAGAATAGAACCCCAGAATCCTGTTTGGAGGGATGTTTGTCACCAATGCCAAAAGCCACCCTACACAATATAAGTAATTAGAAGTACTAATTACTTATATATCAAATGCTTCTCTCATTTGACAACTTTTGAATGATTTAGAGAATGTAAGACTCAATTAGAATGTGAAGCTTGGATCTGAATAGTAAAGAAGGTTAAGATCAGAGTGGTATTTACAAAGGAGAGGCAGATATATGTGCATAGCACCAGATTTTTCAAGTAAGAAAGTTCAGCCCCAAACTAACTGAACTAAAATTTTACATTTTTAAACTCTCCCCATTACTTCCCAGAGTTGAAAGCTGTGAAATGTTTCAGCTTGGTGCTAGTCACTAATGGTGTGAACTCAAAAGGTGGTTTTTCTGCAGCTGAACTGATTCTGTCTCAGGACTTCCAGAGAGCTCCAGTCCAAGTGTCCTGGACTCCACTGGCTCTACACAACTAATCTGGGACCATCCACTTTTTTCTTCTTTGAAATTGGCTAGAGAATTCCTTCATTAATGACAATGTATGCAAACATACACAAATACATACTGAAAATCCATAAATATTTCTAACAGCCAAAGGATACTTTTATCAGAAATTACCCAAAGAAAGTGATATTAGAAATAATGGGACGAAAAATATTTTTTAGAGTCTATTTAATATCCATGGTGCTTAAACATTCAATTTATTGTCTGATTTCTGGATATTTCTGGATTTTAGATTCCATAAACTTCAGATTCTGAAGGCTTATTGAAAAAGCAAGCTCCTCAATATGGGAAATTCTATCTGGCTGTATTTTTAGAGAGTTATTATTTTTCTGCTTCTGAAAAAATATTTTGAATATTTATATATATAATATTAACAGAATACTCCAGTAGGTCATATTCCAGAGAAATATAGTACAATTTGCATCATACCCAACATTTTAGATATTAAAATATGGGTAAAATTTGGAACAGAGTGAATTGTATGACATATTTCCCAACACAAGTGTGCACAGAGAATATTAAAATTTAAATTGACATTTGGCTTTGTAAGCTCTTTTCCCTGTGTACTGTATGTATCTATTAGCAATAGAGAACATTTCGGGATCATGGTATGTTGATTTTCTAGAAGCAGACCTGGAACCTCTCTGGCTCTCCTTCCACAAGGCTCAGTGAGTCAGTCTGAGCAGTGCACACCCTTGCCATGACTCGCTCACTGCAATCAGGCTCAGGAGCACTAACATGCAATCCTAGGACAACACTGACACTAGCACTGACATTTCTGAATCATTCTCTCAAGTAATAAAAAAAATATAGATAGATATACATATAGAGATCTGCAGCTAGACTAATTACTTCAAATAGCAGCAGAAAAGGAAAATAAGCACTTAAATTGCTTGCTTCATAAATTTAAGTTCATTTTAAGTTTGCTATATTGTTTAAAAATTAAAAAAATATCAACTTACTATAAACAATTTAAAATATGTATAATACAACTTCATGGGCAAAACATTTGAACAGTCTATGAAAACAAGGAATACTTTGATCTTACATTTGTTTAAGTTCCATACATGATTTTTCAATCTGTCTCTACCAAGAGAAACCATAAAACAGTTCTTATTTTATGAGAACTAACTTTGTTTAGGGATTTCCTCATCACAAAAATACTTAATTACTTGTTACAGGAGAAGAAAAGAAAAAGAAAAGAAATGGGAAACAAAGTGGTTCTCTCCCCACTTGTCACTATTCTCTTCTTAAAACATTCTGTACATAAGCTATCTAGACTTTCTGAACCATTTACAAATGCATTTTCAAAAATCGAAGAAAAAAGTTTAGAATCTGAAAGTGTTATTTTATACACTGACTATACAATACATATTGAAAGTATACACACACATACATCTTAAAGATAAGGTTCTCCAAAGGTTTTTCGACATTCCATCACCCCCGTACTTGGTGGTCTATCACAGTTGTGTGTACTCTTGACTTGACTAGGTGTGAGACGATCGTATGCCATCTTGTATTCTTTATCAAATGCATCTGCAAAAATTCATAAATAAAGGCATAAAGAAATTTATATTTGATGTTAACAATAATCAAGTTTTGGTAATACTATAGAACTGCAAAATTAGAGGCCAAGAAGGAATTCCTAGGTCATTTCTGCCAACTAAAGGACCACAGAATTTCAGAGCTGGAAAGGAGACCTTATAATCCATAGCATTTTAGAGCTAGATTACACAGATCAGTGAAATTTCAAGTTTTAAGATGCCAATTTTTAAAAATTCTTTTTCTCCCAAATTTTTAAATTGTGGTAAAAAATATATATAACATAAAATTTACCATCTTAACCATTTTTAACTATACAGTTCAGTGGTATTACATACATTCATAATGTTGTGCACCAACACCATCCATCTCCACAACTCTTTTTATCTTGTAAAACTGCAACTGTATACCAGTTAAACATTAATTCCCCATTCTCCCCTCCTCCCAGCCCCTGGCAACTCCCATTCTACTTCTGTCTCTATGATTTTGACTACGCTAAGTACCTCGTAAGTGGAATCATACAGTATTGGTCTTTTTGTGACTGGCTTATTTCACTTAACATAATGTCCTCAAGGTTCATCCATATTGTAGCATATGTCAGAATTTCCCTCCTTTTTAAGGCTGAATAATATTCTGTTGTACATATATACCATATTTTGCTTATTCACTCATCTTTCATTGGACACTTGGGTTGCTTCCACGTTTTAGCTATTATGAATAATGCTGCTATTAACATGGGCACACCAATATTTCTTCAAGGCTCTGATTTCAATTCTTTTGGGTATATACCCAGAAATGGAATTGCTGGATCATATGGAAATTCTATTTTTAATTTTTGAGAGAACTGCCATAATGTTTTCTACAGCAGCTGTACCATTTTACATTCCCACTAACAGTGCACACGGGTTCCAATTTCTCCATATCCTCACTAACACTTTGTTATTTTTTATTTTTTTATAGTAACCATCCTAATAATGTAAGGTGGTATCCCACTGTAGTTTTGATTAGCATTTCCCTAATAATTAGTGATGTTGAGCATCTTTTCATGTGCTTATTGGCCATTTGCATATCTTCTTTGGAAAAATGTCTAAGTGCTTTACCCATTTTGAATTGGCTTCTTTTTTTGTTGTTAAGTTTTAGGAGTTCTCTATATTTTCTGGATATGAATCTCTTATCAGATATATGATTTGTAAATATTTTATCCCATTCTGTGGGTTGCCTTTTTATGCCATTGATATTGCCTTTTGATGCACAAAAATTTATACTTTTTATGAAGTCCAATTTGTCTATTTTTTCTTTTGTTGCCTGTGCCTTTGGTGTCACATCCAAGAAATCACTGCCAAATCCAATGTCATGTAGCTTTTGTCTCACGTTTTCTTCGTAGGGTTTTAGGTCTCACATTTAGATCTTCAATCTATTTTGAGTTAATTTTTGTATAAAGGTCCAATTTCATTCTTTTGCATGTGGATATCCAGTTTTCCCAGCACCATTTGTTGAAAAGACTGTCCTTTAACCATTGAATGGTCTTGGAACCCTTGTCAAAAATCATTTGACCATATATGAGAGGTTTTATTTCTGGGCTATTCTGTTCCATTGGCCTATATGTCTGTCTTTATGCCAGTACCATGTTGTTTTGATTACTGTAGCTTTGTAGTAAGTTTTGTAATTTTATTTATTTATTTTTTTCCCCAAAGCCCCAGTAGATAGTTGTATGTCATAGCTGCACATCCTTCTAGTTGCTGTATGTGGGACGCGGCCTCAGCATGGCCGGAGAAGCGGTGCGTCGGTGCACGCCCGGGATCCGAACCCGGGCCACCAGCAGCGGAGCACATGCACTTAACCCCTAAGCCACGGGGCCGGTCCTGTAGTAAGTTTTGAAATTAGTAAGTGTGAATCCTCCAGCTGTGTTCTTTTTGAAGATTCTTTTGGATACTTGGGGTCCCTTAAGATTCCATATAAATTTTAGGGTTGGTTTTTCTATTTCTGCAAAAAACATCATTGGGATTTTGAAAGGGATTGCATTGGGTAGTACTGATATCTTAGGAATATTAGTTTTCCAATTTATGAACAAGGATGTGTTTCCATTTATTTATGTCTTCTTTAATTTCGTTTAGCAATGTTTTGTAGTTTTCATCGTACAAGTTTTTCACCTTCTTGGTTAAATCAAATTCTTAAGTGTTTTATTTTTTTTTATTGATGTTTTAATAGTTTATAACATTGTGAAATTTTGGGTTGTACATATTTGTTTGTCCATCACCATATATATGTCTCCCTTCACC